GTGTGATCCTGGCTACTACCTGGTTGGAAACAACATTGTGTTTTGCAAAGCATCAGGGAACTGGAGCCAGCCCAGCCCTCGCTGTGAAGGTGGGTCTATGGTCTATCCCCTCCGGTGAGAAGCTCAGCATGTGACTCTGAGCACAGGGCAGATCCTGACCATTGCAACCAGTTCCTCAGAGAAGGCCAATCCCATGGAAAGAGGTGCATGGTATAAACTAATTTCCAGCCCTTCTGTTGTGGAGTTATGGCTGGGGAGGTTTATAGAGATGATGCTGATTTTGTTGTTACAATATTAACAGCCTGTGGGTTCGTTCTTTCTTTTGTTCCAACTCCTGCTGCACATCACTTCTGCACATCACCACTTCCAGCTGCTGTCTGTGTAAATCCCTACATACGGAACGGGAGGCGAGTTGCTGGTCAAGGACTTATCTCTGCACCCGGGGAAGCAGTGACATTTCAGTGTCATGATGGTTACAGCCTGCAAGGCAGTGCTAAAGTCATCTGCCAGGAGGATGGCAGCTGGCACCCTCCCATTCCCATCTGTGATAGACTTCACCATGACCAGGGGCTCTCAAACAAGCCTGAAATTCCAGGTAAATCGTGTCATAGCTGCCTCAGGCTACACTGCTATTTTATGTCTTAGAAAAGTGTGGTTAAACCTGTGAGTGGAAGATTTAAGTATATCCTGATAATAAGAACCTGACCCTCTGGAATCCTTTGGGAAATTATGTTGTGTTTATTTAATAATGGCTATGTTAATCCAAATAATCCATTTGGCAAGGCAAACTGAAGAGCTTTCCTCAGAACAGTGTTCTTTCTGTGCTTGTCCTGCCTGATTCTCATGTCTCTTTTCTTTCTCAATAGGTGGTTGTGGGCCTCCTACAAGGTTACACTTTGCTGAGCTAAAGGAGGAGCATAAAAATGAGATTGACTTTTCTGTGGGGAAGACTGTGCAATACACTTGCCAACCTGGATATGCAAAACACCCAGGAATGTCACCTACTATTACATGCCTTGAGAGCGGAGTGTGGTCAGAAGCACTAGAGTTCTGTAAAAGTGAATAGCTCCTTGATTTGGTGTCCCTTGTTGAAGAAGGAATAGGTGCTAGGTTCTGTCCATGTTGCAAAAACCTTCATGTTGTTCTGGTCTTCCAGTAGTATGTGACTAGTAAAGCCATGTAACTTATTGCTGTTCGAAACCCATTTTGGGGGTAGCTGTAAATATGAATGGGTTACTGGCGTAAGAGTTGCATCTCCTGTTCCATGCTATAGATGGACAGAAGCCTACAATTAGGGTTTTTTTTCTCTCCCAGGGAAAAAATGCAGTCATCCTGGTGAACCTGTGAATGGGAAAATTAGTTCCATAACAGATCTCCTGCTTGGGTCAACAGTGCACTACAGCTGTGAAGAAGGGTAAGTCCTGGTTTTGGCTACTGCTTAAAACAGCAAGGAGAGAGGTATGAGGTAAGTCTCCTTTTTTTCCTCCTATTCATTCATTCCCAATAAATGGATTCTGTCAGAAGCTGCTGTATCGAGTCCTGTGCCTATAAACCATATAACTGTATAACCATATATCTTATGTATACATGAGACAGGCTGGGAGAGCTTGTTCAGCCTGGAGAAGAGAGGGCTCCATGGAGACCTTGTAACAGTCTTCCAATACCCAAAGGGGGCTGACAACGCTGGAGAGGGGCTTTGGACAAGGGCCTGTAGGGACAGGTCAAGGGGAATGGCTTTAACCTGCCAGAGGGGAGACTGAGATGAGCTCTGAGGCAGAAGCTCTTCCCTGTGAGGGTGCTGAGGCGCTGGCACAGGGTGCCCAGAGAAGCTGTGGCTGCCCCATCCCTGGCAGTGTTCAAGGCCAGGTTGGACACAGGGGCTTGGAGCAACCTGCTCTAGTGGGAGGTGTTCCCTGCCTGGGGCAGGGGTTGGAGCTGGATGAGCTTTAAGGCCCCTTCAACACAAACGAGGCTGGGATTCTATGATTCTACGATATACTGTGAAATTGGTCAGGTAGAGCGAGGTCCGAGGTGGTTACGAGGAGAGAGTAATTCAGACTGCAATGACATGGGGTGACTCTTCAATCCTTTGAACACCAGGCACAGGTTAATTGGACAGGCCAGCAGACGATGTGAGATTTCTGGTGGACGTGTTGCATGGAGCGGCGACGTTCCCGTTTGTCAGCGTAAGTAGCTTACAGTTCCAGGGGTTTGCATGGATTCAGTGAATATTCTCCAGCAGAGACTGCCAAATCTTTCCAATCAAATCTTTCACATGGAATTTCTATGCTCTGTGGACATGAAAAATATCAGAATGTTTTGATGTCATAAGAAAATATTCTGGGAACAGGTACAAGATCTCAAAGCTTAATAGATTATAGAAAGCATGTCTCGGCTGGAGCATTTTCAGCAGTGCAAGAAAGGAAGAGAAAATACTGTCTTCACCTTCAGGGCTGTTATTGTTAGACACAGAGGGACCACCGCTCAGAGAGGCAGAGCGCTATGGGAGGGACGGAAGTGGAATCCCAAAGTCCCAAACCACTGGCTCACTCTTTCACTCTGAGCACCTCAGCAATTACACCTGCGTGTTTCTCTGCTCATTAATCAGTGCTGCTGATTAGGTGACAGTTTCATATGAAGAAATAAACATTTACTTGTACATTCTGGCATTTTAAAGCATTTTACAGGTTCTCCAGCTATGTATTAACCTAAGGGGCCATAGAGAGTCCTGCCTGTGCATGCCTTTACACTGAGTGCAGCTGCGAAATCAGGATTTTACACAGGAGATGCAAAAGAAGTATTTGCTTTTCTTTCATTTCTTAAACGGTACAAAAGATAAAGCATGTAGGTGTTTCCTCCAGAGAGGCTTATCATGCTGGTCTGCTTTCTAACTGTCATAGAAATTGCTGGCCAGGGAGATGGGATCCAGTCGCCTACAAGGCCTCCTCTAGAAGATTACTTCACTGCAGTTACTCCATCTCTAGGCCAAGTGTTTATGCCCCACAGACTGAGGGATTCCAAATTCAGAAGCCATGTTCTGCCTCTCTGCAGGTATCCCTTGTGAGCCACCTCCAGACGTTCCCAATGGGAAGCACACGGGCAAGCTGCTGGATGAATTCCTCTTTGGCACTGCTGTAACATACACGTGCAACCCTGGACATCCGCTCCATGGAGAGCCCTCCATCTATTGCACTACCCTGGACGGGAAGAACGGTGTGTGGAGCGGGCCCCCGCCATCATGTGGAGGTAGGGTTGAGTGTACATGTACAGGTACTTGGGTGGAATCCTCCTGTGCCTACTGCTTCGTATTCAGAAAGACAAGGGAACGTCCAGACAACTGCAGTATGTGCCTGCCAGGGCAGGAGTTTCAAGGGCTGCTTTGCAGCTGAGGCCAGGCAGAGGAGGGGAGGTTGGAGGAACACCCTCTGCCTCCAGCATCACTGTTCAGTTTGGGTCTCACCTCAACAATCAGCATCACTCGATGTGGGCAGTACATCATCTATGGGGAAACTGTTTTTAGACTTGTGTCTTAAAAGGGATTGCAACCCTCAGAGGCTTTGCAGCCACACACCACATAAACGCCCATGCTGAAGACCTGCCCTTCTTTTCCAGAGGCAAGATGTCCTGTCCCATGGATCCAGAATGGAAGAATAGTGTCTCCTAGGGCTGTCTACACACACAAGGACACCGTTGCCTTTGAGTGTGAGCCAGGCTATGTTATACGTGGCCACAAAGTGGTACAATGCCAACTAAACAGCACCTGGGAGCCACCTGTGCCAGTCTGCGAGCAGGGCAAGTGTTCCAACAGTGCTATGAACATTAACCTGACACCCCCCTTCTCCCAGATCTGTTGTTTCTTGGCTCTTACAACAATAAGCTGGCTTATCTTTCTTGGTAGCTGGCTGCAATGCACCTACCAGGCTGGCATTTGCTGAGCTGAAGGAGCTGTACAGAAACCAGACCATCTTCCCCGTGGGGAGGACGGTGGAATTCGTGTGCCGGCCTGGGTACACCCAGCACATAGGGATGTCACCAGCCATCACATGCCTCAAGAATAGGACGTGGTCTGTGGCACTGGAGTTCTGTAAAAGTATGTCCTGGAAGGGTTGAAAAAGCTGAAGTGTTGTATTTTTATCTTTTTCTAGCTTTCCAGGTTCCTTTATGCAGCCTGGTCTCTGTGTTAGCATCCCTGAGCGGGATGTGAGTGAGCAGTTGAGGACTAAATTCTTTAAAACAAAGAAGAGATTCTTTACTATGGGAGTGGTGAAGCACTGGCACAGGGTGCCCAGAGAAGCTGTGGCTGCCCCATCCCTGGCAGTGTTCAAGGCCAGGTTGGACACAGGGGCTTGGAGCAACCTGCTCTAGTGGAAGGTGTCCCTGCCCATGGCAGGGGGTTGGAATGGGCTGAGCTTTAAGGTCATCTATGACTAACTGTGGCTGGCATTCCCCTCCTAGGAAAACAATGTGCTAACCCAGGGGATCCAGAGAATGGCCAAGCCATTGTCCTGACAGACCTCCTCTTAGGATCCAAAGTCAATTACACTTGCAACAAAGGGTGAGTCTTGCAACCGGCTGAATTCATCTGCCAAGTGAGAGTTTCAGACCCACATGGAAGAATCTAGTTCCCAAGTCAGAAGTCTTGGCTGGCACTTACAAGGGTTGTAAAGAAAGTTCAAGTCTTTTAATGTAAATTAATAAATCTTTCTGTGTGGCTCCAGGTACAAGTTGGTTGGAGGCTCTCAGAGAACATGCGAGGTCGCTGGCACAAGTGTCTCGTGGAGTGGAGATGCTCCTGCCTGCCAGCGTAAGTAGGCCACAACAAAAGATACTTGGAGATGGTTTGCAAGAGAAAGTGACACTTCTTTCAAGACAAAGACTTAATTGCAAAAGATTTCTCCAGTCACTGTATGTGTAAAATCTTTCATTTTTCTTTTTGTTTTGTTTTGGTTTGTTTGCTTCTGAAAATACTTCCAAAAGTCTTCTATTTATTCTGGTCCAAACTGGCAAAACTGTTAATTAAACTCCATGTTACTGGGTTAAGTATTTCTCACTAGTCATGAATAGGAATGGTGTGGCCTGTCTCTCTCTGCACATGTTCCCAGTGGATATGGAAAGGGAGGTAAGAACTGTCCCACCACCTCCAGACAGGAGAAGCAAGGAGGTGACTTACATGAGGGCAAAGGTTTTCCTTTCCATGTGTGATTTTTTTCCATGCAGGGTTTGTCTCTGCATAATTTGGGTCATCGTATCCAGAGAGCATCACCACTGAGATGGGTTCAACCCCATCAGTTCTCTTCCTGGGAAGCGTGTGTGTCCTGCCGATGAGGTGTTGAAATCCACCTTGTTATGTGCCTCCAGGTATCACCTGTGGCCCACCTCCAAACATCTCCCATGGGACACACAGTGGGCACTCGAGGGACACCTTCTCCTATGCGGATGTGGTCACCTACACCTGCAACCCAGGCCACCCTCTGGCTGGAGAGCCCTCCATCATCTGCAGCACAGCAGATGGGGAGCACGGCGTGTGGAGCGGGCCGCCACCGCGGTGCGGAGGTAGGGCTCTGGCTGTGCGGGGTCTGACCCCACCAGCGAGGTTTGGTGTGAGCTAACATGGCAGATATTCAAAGGAATTAATGGAATTCATTGTCTTCCTCCTTTGGGGTTTTGAAAGTTGGATTTTTAACCTTTTTTTTCTTTCCTATCCATGTTTCTTATCTTCTTCGCCTCCTCGTGTGCAGAGGTGAAGTGTCCTCCCCCTCCAGGCATCGCCAATGGGCAGCACAGCAGCCAGCCCTCTGACACCCACCTTCCAGGTTCAGCTGTGCACTACACCTGCAGGGATGGCTACTCCCTCACTGGGAATGCCTCCATTAGCTGTACTGCTGGGGGAATGTGGAGCCGGCCCCTGCCTCGATGTGAAGGTGTGTTTGTGTTGGCTTCTTTTATTAGATCTTAAGCAGAAGTTCTTCCCTGTGAGGGTAGTGAGGCACTGGCACAGGGTGCCCAGAGAAGCTGTGGCTGCCCCATCCCTGGCGGTGGAGCAGCTGAATAGTGGTATTTTCTGTAAGAATAAGTCAATAATGTTGACATGCCCATGACAGTGATGGCAAGGTTCAGCA